TCACCATGGACACAGCAAGAGGGCCATCGTTTTTGGACCCAAAGTTTCCAAGATTCCAAGTTTCCCAGACTCGAGCTCTGCCACGGCCGGCGTTTTTAGGCCCTAATCAACCTCACATTCCAAGTGCCCTAGAGGCCCTGGGCTCCATAGAGAAGGCTGTGGTGGGATCCCCAGGGCCCTTCAGAAGCTAGAAACTTTCAAGAGCGGTGGGCGTGGTCGGGAGGTGGGCGTGACCGGCTCACCTGCGAGGGCGGGGCTCCCCAGCCGCCCCACCCCCTGAGGCGCCTCCTGCGGCCGGAGACCCGGGTGCTGAGCCGAGCGGCGGAGAGCCAGGTGGCCAGGCGCGGCGGAACGGGTTCCAGAACTTCCGCGGTCAGGTGGGAGCCGTGGGCGGGTAAGTGGGCGGGTAAGGGCTGGGTGATGTGGGGGGCCGAGGGAGGGATCCCAGGCCGGGCGTAACTTTGGGCCCGCTCGCCTGGCCACAGCGACTGGCCTTGGGGGCCCCTGAGCGCCCCCTGCCCAAGCCAGAGCCCCTAGAGTCTGGGACCCTGCTCAGGCCGCGCCCCCTCCCCCGCGCGCAGGTAAACAGGAGCGAGGACAGGGCGGGGCCTGGGAGGGGGAGGAAGGGGGCCCTTGTGACGGGCGCCAGGAGGGAGGGATCCGGGGTGCGGGGTGCGCGGGGCTCGGCCGGCCTCCAGGGGTAAGGTGCGCGGTGGTGGTGGGGAATACCTCCTGTCTGTCTACCTGCGTGTGTGTATGGGTGTCTGATGGTGTAAGACTGGCTATAAGTGTGAAAGAGCGCTGGACCAAATGTGTCACCTGGCGAGCGGCCCAAGGGACTGTATGGGACAGCGCCAGTGAGGTGAAAATGTGGGCGTCCTCTGACTGACAGCGTCTGTAAGAATTGGATTGTTTTTAGGACTTTGTGTATGGGATCTCCAGGTTGTGTAGTTGTGATCAGCTTTCTGTTTGTGGAGGGTGTGTGTGTGCCATAGTTTGTGGGACTTTAAAATTGGAATAAGTGATCTGAGACGAAGGAGACCTTGGGCAGCTTCTGGTTGTGTATCCCTATGTGAAGCTTCTAGGTGTAGGACCAAGAGTGTGACGGTGATCATATTTCTGCCAATGGCATGGTGTGTGCATGTGTTTATGTGGGGCCCAGTGAGCCTTGCGCTGACTTTCTGATAGTAAGAGTGCTTGCGGCTGTGTCTGATTGTATTAGGGAGCTGGGATGGTGTGTGTAGACTGTGGAGGTGTTGGGTGAGAGTTAGGCTGGGAAGGAATGTCCCAGTGATATGAAACTGGGGTCGTGATCATCCTCCCGCTGCCCTGTGGAACGAAGGTGGGGTGAGTGACAGGATAGAAGAACTGTGTCAAGGGGACTGAAGAAGGAAGTCAACTGCTCTGGGGATGGATGCGTGTGGGAGATGGTGGGTGTTGAGGAGACCGCCTGAGCCATGTGTGAGAGACTGTGTGAGGACAGTGGATGACTTGCCGCTGGTGGGTGGGAAGTGAGCCTGCCAGCATTCAGCAAAGCCATGTCTAAGGTGGTTTGTGACCTTAGGGGAGGGTGTGTCCATGGTCAGAATTATGTGAATAATGATTGTACTTGTCAGGATGCCTGTGGATGAATTTGTGTGATTGTAACTTTCACTATGGTTTGTGTACAAGATGTGAGAGTCTATGTATGAACACAGAGTAAAACCTGCTAAAGCCGGAACCTGCCTAGGGAACCTGTCAGAGAAGGAAAATGCAAAAATACCCATTAACAGTGTTGTTATCAAGTGCTGTTGGGTCGGTTATGATTCATAGTGACCTTCTCGTGTAGGGTTTCAGTGGAGTAGTGGGTGGGTTTGAACCGCTGACCTTGCAGTTAACAGTCCTGTGCTTATCCTACAGCACGACCCCAGAATTCCCCTGCTAATAAAATGGGATAGACTGTACCCAAAGGCAGAAAACTGGGGGAACGGGAAAAAGCAGTCAAGGGGAGTTCTGGCTCTTACAGGATTCGCTGTATGTGAGTGTGTATATCCATACTTTATATAGGAGTCCTGGTGTGACGCTGTGGATTAATGCTGGACTGCAAGGTTTGAACCACAAGGTCAGCGGTTTAAGCCCACTAGCCACTCCTCGGAAACACTATAGAAGGTCGCTGTAAGTCAGAACTGACTCCATGGCACATAACCACCACTACTATATATGTAAATACTGTTTGAAGTCCCCGTGTGTATCTATAGGAATATATGTGTGAGGTATATATACTAAAGGACTGGGACTTCAAAATGTTTGTGAGAAAATCTCCAATACCTTTTCAGTCTCTTTGTCCATAAACTTGTTGAAGCTTCCTTGTATGTATGTCAGGAGTCTCTGGGTGGCTCAAAATAGGTAAACATTCAACTATTAGTCAAAAGGTTGGCAGTTCGAATCCACCCAGCATTGCTTCTGAAGACAGGCTGGTGATCTGCTACTGAAAGGTCACGGCTTTGAAAACCCGATGGAGCAGTTTGATTCTGCACACATGGGGTGGCCGTGAATCAGAACCAGCTCAACTCAGCAGCAATAATGTGTGTGTGTGTGTGTGACAGAGAGAGAGAGAGAGAGAAAGAGGTTGGTCGATAGGATTCCATTCAGGCCCTTTCTGTCTACGTCTTCCAACCGGTGACCTTCATGTAGACTCTGACTTTATGGCACCCCCATGTGTGTCAGAGTAGAACTGTGCTCCAAAGGATTTTCAATGGCTGATTCTTCTGGATGGAGATCACCAGGCCTTTCTTCTGAGGTACTTGGAACTACATTTATACCACCTAGGGATTCCTGTATCTTTAAGTGTGCAAACAAGTCTAACTCCCTTGGGCTGTTGTGGTGGGCACAGTGGCTTTCTTCCCGGAGTGTGCCTGAGAGGAGGGTGTGTATGGAAACTTCGGGATCCCCTTCTCTGGGCACTCACAGCTATCTATGCTGTGGGAAACTGAGTCTGAAGACAGGCATCGTTTACACAGACGTGTTTCCCGTTCACACGTGTTTCCCGTGTGTCTGTGGTGTGTAGGTGTGTGAGTGTGTGGTTGTTCAGAGGAGCTGAGGAGGGAGTATTTGAGGAACTGGGGATGATGGTGACAAGCCCACAGTGCATCCTCAGGGTGCATGTGTATATCCAGGAGGGGCTGGGCAGGGAATGAAGAGTTGGCTGTTTGTGGGGCTGCGTGAGTGTACCAGAGTAGGTGTTTCATGGGGACAAGTCTCAATGTGAGGGATTTGGTTGTAGTTTCTGAGGAGAGGGAGACGGAAGAAGAAAGCATTCCTTTCTGTATGTGTTGGCTACTGTTTCTTAGAGGAGAATGTGCTTTTGTGCAGGCTTGTGTTTCCAAGAAGGAAACATATGTGTACTACGTCTGAGAGATAACAAATAAGATGTGTGTTCATGTGCGTTCGTGTGTTGTATTAGGTTGTAATTCTAAAAGGAGAAAGTGTGTGTGTTTCACTGTAGTTTTAAAGGTGTGTGTATGGTATTTAATAAAGTAGAACATGTGTGTTGTATTGTATTTAAATGAAGGAACAATGTGTGTTGAGTTGTGTTTTTGAGAGTAATCAGTGTATGTGTGTGTTGTGTTTTGAAAGAAGAAAGTGTGTGTGTTCAGCTGTGTTTCTGAGAGGAACGTGCATAAGTAGTTGAGAGAAAGAAGTGTGTTGGGTTGTAGTTCTGAGAGGGTAGCGAAAGTACGTGTATTGCATCATATTTGGAAATAATGGCTAGTGTGTGTTGAGGTGTATTTTTTAGGGGAGTGTGTGAGAGAGAGAATTGAGTTGTATTCTGAATGTGTACAAGGGTGGGCTGAGGTGTTTTTCTAAGATAGGAGTAAATGTGTATGTATAGGAATTGTGTTGTATTTCTGAGTGTGTATGGGTGTGTTGTGTATTTCTGAGAGGGAAGTGTATGTACGTATATGTGTGTGAGAGAATTGTGTTGTATTTCTGAGTGTGCGTGGGTGTGTTGTGTATTTCTGAGAGGGAAGTGTATGTACGTATATGTGTGTGAGAGAATTGTGTTGTATTTCTGAGTGTGTGTGGGTGTGTTGTGTGTGTCTGTGTGTGAATTTTGCTTATTTCTGGAAGTGTGTGCCTGGGTGTGTTGAAGCCTTTTTCTGAGAGGGGAGTGCGTGTGTCCTGGAAGCACCCACAGTTAGGTACCTGTGTCCTTGTCAGCCCCCTACTTGCACATGAAGTTTCACTTGTAGCATCGCCGCCCATTACCACCTGGCCTCAGACTCTCAGCTGTTACCTGGTCACTATGACATCCACAAGCCACACCTGCCACACGTGTGTCCCAACTCGCCCAGGGCCAGCGGGGTTTGTCTGTGATGGTGGGTGGAGCCCCCCTCCCTCAAAGACCCTCAGCATCTCCAGCCCTGGGAGCCGATATATGGGACCCCCTCCCGACCCCTAGCCTAGAATCTTCTGTGCTTCCAGCACCCTAGCCCCTCACCCCGCCTTACCCCCAGTTGTCAGACTGGTTCCCAACAAAACACCCTGAGCATGAGCTCATGGGGAGGCGGCCGCCTCCACGTGCCCCGCCCCACACGCCCGGTCCTGGTCACACGGCCTGACTTCTGGGTCATGGTCTCCCAGGTCCTTGGGGTAGAGAGGGCTGGCCAGGTGAGCTGAGGGCAGGCCTGGGAGTCTGGGACAGCTGCTTGCACTCTCTGGGTTTGTTACACTTAGCAGGGGGTAGAAGAGTCACCCTTGGGAGAAGGCCTGACAGACAGAGGGGGACTTGGATGTTTCCAGATGAGAGCTGGCCCTGATGGAGAGGGTGGTGGCAGGGGAGTGGCTGGGATGGGAGAGGTTGGGGCAGAGGGGTGCTGCTGGTGGGATGGGCATGGAGCCCGGGGGCTGGCCAGGGTGGGGAGTGGTTAGAGGTGGGGACCGGCTGGCCAGAATGAGCGTGGCATCACGGGGCTAACTTTGCTGACCCTGACACTGACTTCCCAATCCCGGCCACCCCAGGAGCAGCCATGTCAGTGCAGGTGGTGACCCCTGGTGACATGGGCCTGGTCCCCGAGCGCCTGAGCCCTGAGGAGCTGGTACGACAGACACGGCAGGTGGTGCAGGGGCTGGAGGCGCTGCGGTCTGAGCACCGAGGCCTGGCCGGCCACCTGGCAGAGGCTCTGGCAGGACAGAACCCGGCTGCCAGCTTGGAGCTGCTGGAGGAAAAACACCAGGTCGTGAGCCACTCCCTGGAGGCCATCGAGCTCGGTCTGGGAGAGGCACAGGTATGGGGCAGGGCTGGGGAGGCGCCAAGCCAGGAGTGGGGTCCCTGAGCAGCGTTAGAGGGTCCTTATACCCGACGGGAGCAGGAGTGATTCCTGCCATCGGGTTGATTCCTGATCACAGCCACTCCATAGGACTGAGTAGAACCACATCCATAAGTGCTTAACCCTCTGTGGCATCCGGGTTCCTTCTGTAAAGATGACAGCCAAGGAAACTCTGTGGGGCAATGTCACTCTGCAATGCACTGGGTCCCCATAAAGCAGATGGGTCCCACCACCGAGCTGTGGGTCCTGGAGAGACTTTGGAATTACATGGGTCAGACATGAAGTATGCCTGACTGTGATGTGTGTGCCGGGTGGCATCACTGAAGCCACAACTGGAGGGGTCTCTGCAGAATCTGGGGTGACCTGGATAGAGTTGGGGTGCTCTGGCTCCTCCGGCAGGTGCTGTTGGCACTGTCGGCACACGTGGGTGCGCTGGAAGCAGAGAAGCAGCGGCTGCGGGCACAGGCCCGGCGTCTGGCCCAGGAGAACTCATGGCTACGTGAGGAGCTGGAGGAGACGCAGCGGCGCCTGCAGGCCAGTGAGGAGGCCGTGGCCCAGCTGGAGGAGGAGAAGAGTCACTTGGAGTTCCTGGGGCAGCTGCGGCAGTATGACCCCCCGGCGGAGGGCCAGGTATGTTTGGTCCTGTGGTCCCCTAACCCTCTTCAGAGCATCCAGAATCCCTGTAACTCTCCCTTGTATCCCACCGTTCCTCAACACTCCGCAGAGCCCACAGCCCCCTGACTATGCAGAACCCCAGAATCCTCCAAAGAACCCCTACCCTCCTCAGATGTCCCACAGTCCCCAAACCTCTACAGAGCCCCCTGATGCCCCCAAAGAGCCCCCTGGCCCTCCCTAGACATCCTATATTCCCTTGATTCTCCCTCAAAGAATCTCCTGAACCTCTCCATGTGTCCCACAGTCTCCGGAATCTTTTTTTTAAGTTTTACTGTGAATCGAGTGATAGTTTACACGGGAGAATATTAGTTTTACCCTCATAGTTTCATTGCTGTGATTACAGTCTCCGTGTATCATCATTCAACTGTATTTGCTTCTATTCCTTCTGTTTTTGGGGGTTGGGGTTGGGGGTGGGATATACAGACTGCAGAATCTCTTAAGAGTCCTACAGCCCCCCACCAAGAACTCCCTGACCCTGCCCAGATGACCCATAGCCCCTAAGTCTCCCCATGGCCCCCAAACCTTCTCCAAATATCCCACAGCCCCTAACTCTCTGTAGGCCCCACATCTCCCAAAAGAACCCCCTGATGCTCCCCAGATGACTCACAACTTCCTCTCTGCAGAGTCCCACAGCCTCCCAAAGAACCCCTTGACCCTCCACAACCCCCTAACCCGCTGCGGGCTCTAGTCCTGCATCCACAGAACCCTTCTGACCCTGTACAGAGCCCCATAGCCACCAGAGTGTCCGTGTAGCTGCTCCACAGTCTGCAGCTCTTCCCCACCCCCACGGACCCCCCACCCCCAGGCCCTGAAACTGCCCCCTGTGACACCCCACTTTCTTTTCCTAACACAACAGTCCGAGTCTCCACCTCGCCGAGACAGCCTGGCCTCACTGTTCCCCAGTGAGGAGAATGAGAGGAAAGGTGGGTGTTGGGGGGGTCAGCGAGGGACTTAGATTGGTCAGGCCCTCAGGATTCTGAGAGGAGGAGGGGAGGTCAGGAGGATGACCCTGGGGATGCCTGGGCTCCCGTGGAGGGAGGCCGGTATGATTCGCACCTGTGCCCCCAGGTGCTGAGGCGGCAGGAGCTGCAGCGGCCCAGCAGGGTGGTTATGAGATCCCTGCCCGCCTCCGGACCCTACACAACCTTGTGATCCAGTATGCAGGGCAGGGCCGCTATGAGGTGGCTGTGCCTCTGTGCCGCCAGGCCCTGGAAGACCTGGAGCGGAGCCTGGGTCACTGCCACCCGGATGTGGCCACCATGCTCAACATCTTGGCGCTGGTGTACCGGTGAGGGCTGGGACCTGGATGGTGGGGGTAACAGCCTAGGAGGGACGGGGCACAATGGGAGAGAGGGAGAGAAGGAATCCTGCTGTGTGAGGGGTGGGCAGGGATCCTGGAGGTGACTGAGACCCCTCTACAGACCCTCCAGGTCCCCAGAGAACTCCCCCACCCTCCACAGGTGCCTCACAGCCCCCTCCCCACTACCAGATGCAGAGAGGAGTCAGAGGTGGGAGAGCAAGGCTTAGGCTCCAATTAGGTGGAAGGGTGACACCTGAGTAGGGGAGACCTGGGCATCCTGGAGAGGGAGGACCCCAGTGAGTGGCTGAGAAAGTGGACCACCCTTGATTGGGTCTGTGGGGATCTGTCTGGCCAAGCCCCTTTACCCCTGTGGTTGCTCCCCAGGGACCAGAACAAGTACAAGGAGGCCACAGACCTTCTGCACGATGCTCTGCAGATCCGGGAGCAGACGCTAGGCCCCGAGCACCAGGCGGTGAGGAGGGACGCTGGGCTTTGAGTAATGGTGGGGGGGTACTCTGGACCCCAAGCACCAGGCAGTGGCGGGAGGACACTGGGCCCCGAACACTGAGAAGGGTGAGTGGAGGAGAGGGGTGCTGAGGGGGCATGCTGGGCCCTGAACACCAGGCAGGGATGGGAAGACACTGGCTCCCAAACCCCAAGGAATGATGGGAGGATGCTGGGTCCCCAGCACTGGGCAGTGGGAGGGGGACACTCTGGGCAGTGGGGACGCTAGGTCCTGATGGGGAGGATGGAGGGGTGAGCAGGGGAAGGCTGTACCTTCCCCTCTCTGACCTGTGGATACCCCCGACTCCCACAGGTGGCTGCCACCCTCAACAACTTGGCAGTCCTCTATGGGAAGCGTGGGCGCTACCGAGAGGCAGAGCCCTTATGCCAGCGTGCCCTGGAGATCCGTGAGAAGGTCCCACCTCTGCCCACCCCTGCCCTCTGGGTCCCTTGTGTCATGTGGGCCCACACATTTGAGTCTTGATTTTCCATGTCCCTCACACTGGGACCAGGATCCTTCCGTGTCCACATTTTCCCTGTGACCTCTGACCTTTCCATTTCAAATAGTGAGTCCTCAGTTTAAGCTTACATCCCCTAATCCTGTGGCCTACCACCTTTGACCTGTGAACTCCTAGTTTGAACCTGACTCCTGACCCTGTAAATCCCCTCCAACCCTCATGACTAGTATACCTGCAACCTAGCTCTACCCCAATTTGACCTCTGACTTCAGCAATCCCCAATGTAATGGTGCAAACTCAGGATGCCTATTATGACTTTGTACATCCTGTGGACCACCGGTTTTGTGGGACCCTTGTGACGTGTGACCCTGATCCCCAGGTCCTGGGCGCCAACCATCCAGATGTAGCCAAGCAACTCAACAACCTGGCGCTGCTTTGTCAGAACCAGGGCAAGTTTGAGGAGGTGGAGCGTCACTACGCCCGGGCCCTGAGCATCTATGAGGCCCTGGGTGGGCCCCACGACCCCAGCGTGGCCAAGACCAAGAACAACCTGGTGAGGGCGCCAGCTTCCGGTCTACCCCTTGGTTCACTTGTCGGCCAGTCAACACCTACCAGCATTACTACCTGCTCAACCTCATCAGAAACATCTGAGGACCTGTGTGACTGGCTCACAGGCTAGGGCTGAGGCAGGTTGGGCCTGACTTGGCACAGGGTAAAGACTGAGGGTGAGTGCTGGGCCTGACTTGGCACAGAGTAAAGACTGAGGGTGAGATAGGGCAGAGGCCAGGAGCCCCCAAGTCTGCTGGGCTGTCTTGAGGTGAGGCTTCAGAGCCGGCACCAACCGGTGAGGAATCTGCCTAGTAAACAAAGCAGTTCCTACAGCGTTCTCTGTGAAAGCGTTTGAAGTCTACTGATGGAGACCCTGGAGAGATAGGCTGGGATCAGCTGGCTGTTGTTGCTGTTAAGTGTTTTCGAGTCGGTTTTGACTCGTAACGACCCAGTATAGGGTTCCCGAGGATCAGCTGGTGAGCTTGAACCGCCGACCTTGCAGTCAGTACATTAACCCACAGCACTGCACCAGGAATCCAGGGTCGCTGCTGTATCAAGTATTTATTGAACTCGAACTGGACACTACATCCCTTCTTAGCACATTCCTGTACTTTTATTTTTTACAACAATCCCTCCCTCTTATGAGGGAGGAGCTACTGTCACCCCCATTTTGCAGATGAGGAGACTGAGGCACTGAGAGGTTGAGCTAGTGGCTTAAGGTAGAACGGGAGACAGGCTCAGAGTCAGGAAGTTACCTGGCCGGGTAAACCTAGGAATTCAAACCAACTCGGCTGAAGGGATGTGGAGGCAAAGGGCAGGAGGAGGCCTACACTGGTTCCCAAGGGCACAGAGGAGCCAGGGCATGGTGTTGAGTAAGAGAGGGACCTGATTAGGGCTGCATTTGGGAAAGAGGTGCATGGACTCCATGAGGGGGCCTGGAGGGAGTTTCTAGATTTGAGCCCCTTTCCTGCTCCCCTTAGGCCTCAGCCTACCTGAAACAGAATAAATACGAGCAAGCAGAAGAGCTATACAAAGAAATCCTCAGCCGGGAGGACCTGCCCGCCCCTCTCGGTGAGCCCACAGCCCCCTCCTCCTCCCTCCCAGGAGCCTTCTCAAGCCCTCTCCCCACTTTCCTGTCCCCCATGTTTCCCCAGGAGCCCCCACCACAGGCAAAGCAGGAGATGCAGATCCACAGGTAAGACGGGACTTTGGTTTCTGCTCCGGGCAGAGCTGGGGTCTGGAGGGGAACTGACTAGCGTCCTGGCCCCTCTTCCAGGCCCTTCGCCGGAGCAGCTCCTTCTCTAAGCTTCGAGAGTCCATCCGACGAGGAAGTGAGAAGCTGGTCTCCCGGCTCCGAGGCGAGGGGGCGGCAGGGTAAGTGCTAGGCCGCCAGCAAAGTTGCAGTCTGCCCCCCAAGAATCTTCCATGGCTCCCATCTCCTGTTTTGGCACATCCAGCTGAAACCCATTCCTTCCCCACTGGCCCCTCCCTGCAGGATGAAGAGGGCCATGTCGCTCAGCATGCTGAACGTGGATGGTCCGAGGGCTGCAGGGACACAGGTGCTGGTGAAAGGGTGGCCATGCTGGCAGCTGAGATGAGGAATGGGTGGGGGCAGTCAGGAGGCCCAAAGGGCAGGAGAAGGGACAGTATATGTGGCATGGGATGGACAGGTTGGAGTCAGACAAGGGGATGAGCAAGATGACTATGTGCTGGCAGGGGGGTGGCCTAGAGATCAGGGGCAGGAGAGTGGACTTGTGGGGGTACGGGGGTGAATGTGTGTAGACACAGGGTCAGGGTATGACCATGGAGGTGCAGCCATAAGTGGCAGTTGTACCGAAGTGTGTCCTGCCCCTCACCTGTCCCCTATGCCATGTCTCCAGTTCCCCCACCGACACCTGAGTGACATCTCGAGGACCCTCAGTGCCAGCACCCAGGACTTGGGCACCCAATAAGATGACGGGGCCACATTGACTGCAGCGTCTCAGGAAGACAGGATTGGGGTGGCAGAGAGCCCCCTTCTCGCCTTACTCGCTGGCTCCCATCACCTGGGGCACTGGGCATCCTTTTGTGAGATTAAAAGCTGTCCGTTTGTCAACGAGGAATGTGCGTCTGGGGTTTCCTATGGAACGTCCACCCTGGGACAGACGTGGCCTGTGGCTCACAGCTGCTGTGCGATCTGCTCGATCCTCTGCAGTGTCTCCTCCGACTGTAGCTGCTCCAGGCTGAGCAGGGACAGGCCCAGCTGATCCTCCTAGAGGGCACAGATGCCAGGCTGTCAGGCAGAGGCGGGGGTGCGGGGACCATGGGCACAGACGCCAGGCTGTCGGGCGGGGGGGGCAGGGACCATGGGGCAGAATGTTTAAAGGCTGATGTCACAGCCCACAGGAGGAGGGAGGGAGGGAGGTGGCTGCTAAGAGATGGCCATCCAAGCTACAAAGGACCAGCCAGCACCCTTAGTGTGTCTCTGGCCCTCAGCTCCCCACCTCCAGACCTCACACACAGGCCCACAATGAGCCTCTCTTTGGCAGGGGTGGGGGTGGGGTTGGGAGGGAGATGGGAGCTGCCTGGAGCAAGGGCCTGTGGGCCCATGTCGGCTCACCCTATGGAACGGCTGGGCCATCTGCCTCAGGAAGTACTTGGCGACCTGGACGCCCTCGTCCACAGTCAAGTTGAGGTTGGCGTCTGTGAGGTGCTCCTGGATCCAGCGGGGCAGCTTCCCCCGCTTGTCCGCCCTGGCAAACCGCTGCACCCAAGGGGGCAGGGAGAGCGGATGTCAGGGGGAGCCTCGGCCCCTGCCCGCTGGGCCTCCCCAGCACCCAGGTAGTTGTAAAGCCACTGGGGATAGCTGAGCACTCGGCTGCTAGGCACGGTGGAGCACCTTGTCAGCGAAGACCATGAGGCCATAGTCAGTCTTGCCCCGTATGGCCCGGCCCACACACTGGGCTGCGTGCCGCATGGCATCGAAGGTCAGGAAGTCGTTCTCACGGATCTGGAACTGGTCCCGGAGGTATTCCAGCCGCGCCTGCCGGAGGGGAGGCAGATGATGGGGTGCTGAACCTCCCTGCATTCTGGCCCACCCTAGGACTGTACCAATCCTGGGAGGAGAGCCCCCGAGAGAGGCCCCCAGGCCCCAGTGCGGCCTCACCTTAAGAATACGACTCTGGGTGTAGACGTAGGGGACCCCGAACATGATGACGGCCCGCCCGTAGTGATGCACTAGGGGTGAGGAGAGAACATACAGGGTTACAGGCGAGCACAATTGGAGGGGAGATGCCAAGGGCCCCAGAAGATGACAACATGAGCAGGCATGCATGAGGAGAAAGGTCCCCCGGTTCCCAGAGACATGGAGGGCAGAGGGCCCTGGGCATGCCCAGGTCTTGGGGTGGGTGGGTGCCAGGGGGATCTCTGGGGAAGCAGTAGTAATCCCAAAAACTGTGCAGGCGGCTGGGTGGGAAGAGCTTGGCCCACTCACCAAAGTCGATTCCCTCAGACACTTTGCCCCGAGCCACCGAAAGCAGGATGGCCCCACGGCCATTCTCACAGGCCTGGGGAAGGGACATGGCTCAGCATCACTCTGTGGTCTTACATCCAATGCCGGGTTTTCC